CTCCCTCCCCAATACCCTGTCCAGTGGACAGCGTGGAAGTTTCAGAGCAAGAAGTCCTGCCTGTGTGGGGAGCCTGGGTGTCATGGGCTGTGGCCCATGAAATACACTCAAAACAGGGGCTGACAGGTCTGTTGCTGCCGTGCCATACTGCACATTTCCAGGTTTGCACTGCTGCCGCGTGTAACGCTGTTGGTCTAGTGCTCCATGTGCCAACTGAAGTCATTAGCAGCCTTGAGATCTGTCAGCCATCTGTGCCTGGTATCTGTTCATCCCCAAGTGGGAAAGAGGTATCAGTGCAGAGCCATAGTGGGATGCAGTGGTGCTGGAAGGTCTCTGGGGTATGTCTTGGTCATTTGAATTGCTGTGCCCCTCGCAGAGCATTTACTGCTCACTCCTTCCACCTGGATAATGTTGGAGTCTCTTGAGAAGCCTGTTAACATGAGAACTGATTACAGCATCTTTTGTTAAATGTTTGCCAATGAGCAGCAATACCCAGCCAGCTTTGGTGTGAATGAGAAACTTAATAATCCATGAAGGATTTTTTTATATCTTTAATTTACATTACATTGGTTTCATAAATTAGGGGGAAAAGGGTTAGTTATGGCTTTCTTCCTAGTGGTGAGTTGGGATACACCAGCTGTGACACACCATTTACAGAGATGGCTGGAGCCATTGTATATCAAAGCTGAAAATGCTTTTGACCCTATCAGTGCAATATACCCTTTGGTAGTCCTTCTTGTGAGGGTTTCTTGTGCGTGTTGTACGAGCTGCCTCGCTGTGTTGCAGTAATGTGCGGGAACACGTGGAGACAAAATGATGGATTATTAGACCTGGTGTTTGTAGTTTGATCTGTGCAGCAAGTGTTAGCCAATAGTGATTTGTTTTCTTTCCCTTACTCCCTTATTGACATTTTTCTTTCTCTTAGTGTCTGAAATTCCAAATCTGGAATGTCCTGCTGTCAAGCCTGAGTCTGCTTTATTTAACCCAAATGTAAATCCATAGCATAAAGCAGTGTGAATGAAGTCTGAACTGAAAGAAAATTCAACTCGGTATGTTGCCAAACTGAAGCCTTCATACCCTGTCAAATGCAAACACCAAACTAAATCTTTGTGGCTGTCCACTAGACTGTGGGTCTGGCACAGACAGAGATTGCTCAGACAGTAGCTCCAGACGTCTCGAGAACAGAGACCTCCTTACGGGATAAATTTACAGAGTTTTCATATGGCACTCAGGAAATAAATTTTAACAGATTGCAGTAATTTTTGTTTGCTGATAAAGTATGTCTGAGAAAAATGGTCAGTCAGGAAAGTTGGTTTGCTCTCTGTGTGTTTACCAGTCTGGGAAAGATTGTGTCTTCTACTTGGGTTACCTTACTGAGGGCAGGATACCTCTCTAAAACATGTGCAGTCTCTCAAAAGAAAAAATATTTTTATTTCGTTCAGTCAGTTTATATAGTATTGTTTGTTGTTTGAAATAGCAGTTCCTTTTAAATAAACTTGCTGGATTTATTGCCATGGAACCAACTCGAACACTGAGAATTGATTCCTTAAATTGTTAGTGAACTGTACGGCCAGTGAGGCTATGATGATAGACCTTGAGAGCTCTAGGATGCTCCTAAGTAAGTTTTGCATTGCAGAGGTTTGAAAAGTCTGTGACTCTCCCCTGAGAATTTTTCCTTGGCTCTCATACTGGGAGACGTGTTATTTCAGAAATGGCAAGAAGTTCATCTTTGCAGCTTTGAAGTTCTGAAATATGTGGGCATTTTCCCTTATTCGTGGATATAACAAACTCTGTTCTGTCTCCGAATGCGGATATGCAGTTTTAGTGCTGAGTAGCTGGATAGAGAGGAATTTTTAGAAGAGTCAGAAGGCACAAGCTGAACAACAGCACAAATTAGATGAGATAAATGATCCTGCAGGAGTTAAGATGACAGGAGCCATTCCTTTGTAAAGAAGAACTCATTTCTTGAAGCGCTGAATTGCTGAGAACTGTTTATTCTTTCTTATTTTAAAATCTGGGATCACACAGAATCAGAACCTGATTTTAGTATAAGGAGTAAGGTGGGTCAGGTAAGGCAGAAAAAAAACAGTGCAAGGTCACCATGAAACCTTCAAGAAATACTGTGATGCATGAGGAAGACATTGCTTGGTTTGTCTTGGTTTTGTTTCTTTTTTCCCCTAGAAACGCAGTTAGTTAACTTCCAGTCCCAGTAGGTTTTGATCCGCAAACAGTTGCCTCAGGAACAAGCAGCTTCCCTGTGCTCTCCTGCAGCAGTGTTGGGTACTCCAGATTTAGCTGTTATTTGAGCTATGTCTGTGACTCCTGGGAAGCTGGGAAAGTGGATTTTTCTTCAGGTGTTCTGTGAAAGCAATACCTTTTTCCTTTTGTTTCTTGGGAGATGTGGCCTACAACATCAGCTTGGTAGAGTTTTGAATTGAAGTCTCGGAACTCCTCTTGGTAAGACTGACCTTTAACTTTGAGATTTAAAACCTCTGAAAAGGTTACATAAATAGAAATGCAGAGGAGAATCAGTAGATTTTTAGAGAATTTGTAACAAATCTAAAAGAAAACAAAAAACCCACCCCATCACCAGTTTACAGATTGCAGAGATTTCATATTGGATACCTGTTGCCTGCTGCTAGTTGTCCATGAAGGATTGTCAATATATCCGAACTTCTCACGCCATAAATGATGAGATCTTCCTCCCACCACCACCATCTCAATTCCTTTCTCTCCACTTGCTGAGGGCAGAAAGCAGCCATAACAAAAGTTACTATCTGTACTACACTTTGTATGTGTATCGCTGTTTTTTTAATACTTGAGTTTAAAAGTGGGAGAAAGATTGTCTGCTAGGTGGTTAATCAAACCTCAGAGCGCCTGAAACTTCTTATGCCTCTGGTAGGATTGTGGGCAAAATCATGAAGCTCAAAATTCACAGGACCAGTTAGACTTCTGCCTGTGTTTATGTACTTAAATACCTTCTTGGATCTGGCCCTGTGTACTTTGGATTGCCAGTCTCGTATTTGAAACTGCAAACAAGTAGAAGTTAGATGGTATTTCACTACCTCACTCGGATATTGAGATGCAACTGCATATTGCAAAAATATCTAAACCAGAGAGGTTAAAAAGTACCTCACGGCAAACTACTCTTGAAAGAAGCTCTTGATGTCTGAATCTCAGAGCATCTCACGTTTTTCTTTGCATATATCCTGGTATAAAAAGCTAATGCATGCTTATGAAAAAGTAAAACTATTGTGACTTCTATGTGTAAAAAATTTTTACATAGTAGAATATATACCTTTAATAGAAAATGATGAAACAGTCTCTATAACTCTACAACGATCGAAATTCAATATTGTTAATATAAATGTTTTTGGTAATAATAGGAAATTTGCAAGGAAGAGGGATGCATTTAGTTCTGAGAGATGTTTGACCTCTGCGACTTCATAGTCCATTAGAGAGAGCTGAGGTCTACATAAACTGGCTTGCTTTCTTTTTTACCTAAAAGGTATTATTTTTTTCAATAAATACCAAAATCAAGTCAATATTTTTAGAACCAGGATAATTGCCACTTTAAATGGACTAATCTTTGCTCAGAAGTTGTCTGACACTTTATATCCAATGTAAGCAGGAAAGAAATAATTAAGATATATGCTTTTGGTAATTGATCAGGAACATTTGAATGGGTTACATAAATAATAGACTAATCAAAGTATTGTCTAACCATTTAAAAAAACACATGCCCTACTGCATGTACATTTATTTAAATTAATGTTGCTGTCAGAATTTATGAGAAAATTTGAAAGAGGATTTCATTTTCACCTTATAGTTAATGCTCTCATAAATAATAATTTGTCAATTTATAGGATAAGATATAGTATTAAATTGTTCAGTGTACTCTTTAAAATAGAGGTGTGCATTTATTGTACTATTACTTATCTATGGATAAAACTGCAAATTTCAAATCTCATTTTCACGTCTGCCAAGTCCTACTCTAACTCATTTTCTGTTCTAATGAGAACTAATGATATTAACAATCTAATGTTATGCAGAAGAGACCTGGGACTCTTCTTATTTGTGCAGTATCATGCAGTGGTTTTCTGCATAAAATATTTTATTAGTCTGTCACTGATAACTGACCAACAGATTATCTAAAAAAAACCAACAAACCAACAACAACAAAAAAAAACTAAAAAAAAAAAGTAAACCCAGCTGCTCCAAAAAAAAGTCAGATATTTAAAAAATACATTAGGTTCTTGTTTAAGCCCATGAAAATGATACCTTGAACACCAAGGAACTTCAGTCTGATAGTTTGGGGTAGGGCTATGTCTACTTGCAAGCAACTTCCATTCTTCCACTCTTTTGTAAAACCAGTTTAGCTTTGTGTAATTGTATGAGGGAAGAATACACTATCAAGCTGAATATTTGAGATTAAATGAAAGGTTATATTTCTCTTGAATGGCAATTTGAACATGCTTTTTTGTGATATCTCGTACATGCAAACCAAAATACCCATAACGGGAAAGACACGTTATTTGCACAGTCTTTGTATTTATGTCCATATCAGTTTGCCACAGTCAGTGCTGCTGTTTACTTCAGAACTGTTCCATATATATCCTTTGGGCTCCACTGGTACTCATTAAAAGGTGCTGTGGCAGCCTGGCATCAGCAGAGTCCCTGCATGGAAAGAGCCACTCTTTTCTTCAGCAGGCACTGTCATCTGCTATGTTCTCTCTGGGATGAGCTTCTCAGGCTCTGTGTAGGGTAACTTTTTTTTTTTTTCCCCTTCTGGACAGGAAAGTAGGGCCTCTGCATGTGTTTAACCCCAGATTTTTGCAGGATACTATTATTTCTGCTTTTAATTGACTGCAGTTTTACAGGAGAGTGTGTCCCAGATGTGATTGCTGTAAAATGAAAGAGCACCAGTGTTGGGCTTGAATGTTTCCCATCCAATTACCAATTGCCCCTTCATTTTATTTTGAAAGCTTTTTCACTTGAGTATGGGGTTTCCAAATGATTCTGGTAATCCTGGATTTTTTTTTTTCCCCTTGTTTTTACAGGTGACCTGTAACTGTTTCACCATCAGCAATGGAGAAATGCAGGATGTTGCTGTTGGCCTGTATCCCAGGTACTGTGGACACTGTTTCATTGACAAGCAAAATCTATGTTAGTTTTTTCTTTTTTTTCCTAGGTAGCTGTAAGGGCCATCAAAGCAGCAGGTAACATGTCTAAACGAGAAACTAGGAAATGCAAATAAATTAAAGGAGAATAAAAAATGTGATCAAGTTGAAAGCATTCTTAGTAGTCAGAGTTAAACCAGTTTAAATAAGGTATGTCTTTGTATTTTATTCATCAAAGCAGCAGGTAACATGTCTAAACGAGAAACTAGGAAATGCAAATAAATTAAAGGAGAATAAAAAATGTGATCAAGTTGAAAGCATTCTTAGTAGTCCTGATTACAGAGTTAAAACAGTTTAACAGATATGTCTTTATATTTTATTTTTATGGAGGTGGTAATCTTTTCTAAGTAAAAATAAATGTTGACATCAAAAATATGTGACTGGCTAGTAAAAGGAAACCTGTTTAGCATTGCTTTAGAATACAGATATTTTGCAGCAAAGAGCCTTCTGAACTGACAATTAAAAGAAGAAGACTGAACACATTTATTAGTAAATTACCGTAACTAAGAAACCAGTAAGGTGAAAAGATAAACCCATTGAGAGATGGCTGTTAATATTTGAATTTCTTATTATTTCTTATTTGTATTAGGTAAGAAGTACATACCAGGGAAGTTTTTGCCTTCATAGAATTAGTTACCTGTAATTATTAATGTGGAAAATTAGTATGTATAGTTTGAAATTATAATTTACCATCTCAATTTTTTGTTAATGCATGGTTTAACTATGCTGTCAATACCTCAGTGGGCCTGTCACTGTTGTTTCTTTTTCTACTAACGTCACACATGTAAGATTTGATTAAGGACACTTAATATCTTGAGGGCTGCCTTGTAGTAAAGACAAGGGAAAGGTGGTTAGGAGGACATTGGAATTAGTGTTATGAAAAGTACAGAACAGTCATTTGATTTTTGTAGTGGAATGGAAACAAATCCTTTCACGTACATGGGAAGAACAGAATATTATTTGGGAGCATTATTATTAGTGAAATGTTTTCTTTTGGTTGAAAAAAGCCCCTGACTGCGAAGAAAGTGGTTATCTATGTTGTGATAACGCACTGCCAAGGGATGTTTTTTTCCCAAGTCGGTTCAGAGCAGTTTGAGTTTTGCTGTAGCAAATCACCCTGAGCTGGGAAGATTGTGAACTTAAACTTGTGGTTCCCAAATCCTAGGCCCTTCCAGATGAATTCAGATGCTTCCAGATGAAACTGTCATCAAACCCATTTGTTTTTCCATGAGATGAAATTTGATTAAAAATTATTTGTTTAGTCACATTAAGAGGTTGTATATTGCTGCATGGCTTGATAGCTTCAGCATCCCAATGTATTTTAAAATAGCACTGTGGTCCTTTTCTGCATCACCTCATCAGCAGCTTTGGGAATATGCCCAGTGATCTCACAGTAAGTGAAATGGATCCCCTCTCCCGGTGTACATTACTGGCTTCACATGGAGATTAACCACAGATATTTTATGAGGCCAGAAGGGATATCAAAAGAGTCAGGCTCCTGTTGATATCTCCTTTAAGAGTCAAAAACTGAATAAACATGGTTTTGTGCCGAGCTCTGGCCCTTGGCAACATCCTTTCTTTTGCCAACAATAGGTGGGGTTTTGAGTTGCTGAATCAGGCAAACAAGGAAAGCAAATTAAGGCAACCAGGAACAGGATAAGCCAAAAACTCTTCTTCCAGCCTGATGATGCCAGAATTGTTCTTTCAATGGGCCATTCCCATAGGGGGAGAACTGTCAGCCCTACGTCTGCTATGGAACTGATGTTGGCCTTGCAAAGTCAGTTGTTTCTCAGCTAATGAAACATGGGACTCAAAAGTATATAGTTGGTGTTGTTCTTAACGGTCTCCTTCAACAAAGAGGGAAGGGCATGTCTGCGTCAGAAGATCCATGGGCGCGTGTGTCTCTTGGGGGTGGCAGCAGCTCCCCAATGAGCTGTGCTGCTTCAGCTGTCGCGTGCCACAAGAACAGAGGCTGAACCAAAATATGTGTAAAACAGAGGCAATGGCTTTATCTCTTCTTTCAACTCTGTACACCAAGAACTTTGGGTTGGGACACAGTATACTCCATTTTCTACCTGCTATGAAACACAGGTTGATTGCTGGCCCATTTGAGCTGCGGTTCCACTGACAGTCAGGGTAACTGATGAGGTTGGTGCCCTGAAACTGAGCAGAAGCAGCAGAAATAAAACATAGTCCCAAGGTACTAACCTTTTGCTCTGAACTGTCCAGGTTGCCTTGTTCCCTGCTTGCCTGCTTTGCCCTCTAGCCTGAGTCCAGCCTCTCGGAGAGTCACTGGGAGGCCATCGCTGCCTTCCCACCCTGAGTACACAGAAGGCAGAAACACGTGAAGAGGTCCAGGCATGGCTCCTATTAGCAATGAATATAAATCTTCTAATCATTAATTTTCTTCCCCTAACCAAGAGCAGCTGATTTACCAGGGACTGTATTTGTTTCGTAACTTAATTGCTTGATAACTTCAGATGTAATCTTGTTAGCTACTTTTAAATGATTCGAGGAGAATGGCAGTGGAGGCTCCTCTGTAAAGTTCTTTCTCTCTCTCTCTCTCTCTCCCCCTCTCTACCACCCCTCACAGCATGTCTTTACTGAACCACAGCTGTGACCCAAACTGCGTGATCGTTTTTGAAGGATACCAGCTTTTACTTCGTTCTGTCCGAGAGATCCAGATTGGTGAAGAGGTAATTAACTTGTCCTCCCTTCCATCACAGACACCTGCAACAATGACATCTCCCTAAATAAATTCCAGACTGCAGCGCCACCAGCTTAATATTTTGATGATATATTGACGCCACTTTCTAGCACATAGCTATCAGGGGGAAAATGATAAATAGAATCATCTCTTCACACTGCCTGGGCCCCATAATCATTACTTCTCATAAATCACTAGCAGTCTTGATAAATTCTTGTTCCCCCTTTCCTCCTCTAGGCGCTTCGTTTTGTTTGTATTTGAATGTCTTTACCCCGATGGAAACACTTATAATATTTCTGGGTGGAATGCAGTGTTCGCTAAGTCATTGCAACAGTAAGCATTTGTCAGGCTGCAACCATACTGCTGTAGTGAACCTTTCATTGGCAGTGAAAGTAGCAAGACAAGGTTTTTTTACTTGTCCGTTTCACTAGAAGACTTCAAAATATCCCTTTCAAGAGATTTCTGATTTGATCTAAGGTATTCTCAGCTTTGTTTTATGACAGCATTTGTATTACTTTGAAAATAATCAGCTGTGGCTAGGTAAGCATTTCGAAGTAAACGTCTTTTGCAGCAATGCAATATTGAATTTGCTTAGTAAGGCCTGCAAAGATGTGTGTGTATGTAATTCTACATGTGCCAATGACCTATGCAGTCCTAGCTGTTGGTCATGTCAAAATTATGACCTAATGTAAATACGTTTCACACCTGTGCTTCAAACTCTGAGGAGTTCAAGGGCATACATATTCTAATTTAGAAGTAGTATCTCTTTTCCTCCCTATGAAGTGTTTTCTTTTTTTATGTATCCTCTCTCCAAGACAGTAGGCCATCAAAATAAGTAAATGGTAAAATTTTTTTTTAGCGAAAATATTGTGGAGAACCAATGGAAATTATTTTGCATACTTACCTTTTTGCCAAGGGAAATATTTTAGGATGAAATATACTTTTGTGGAGCTATTAAGTCTAGGCATCTTTTGGTCTGGCATTCTTGTTCAAGCCAGATTATAGACACCCTTCTTCCATTTTATCCATATACCATAACTTTCCTCTTGGCTTCTCAGTTCACCAAGATGGGTTGTTTATTTAAAAATACAGTAGATTTTAATATCTTCCCAGAATGCATTTGGTTTAATTACTAGAGTTCTAAATTGTGAAGCTTTCTTATTTTTATGTGTGTGGATATATTTTTCTAGGTAAATTTCCTAAAGCAATTCTTTGTAACGAGCAGCTTTTGGGGAGTGGGAGAGGCCCGCCGGTGGCCCTGGGTGGTTCTGGAGTGAGAAGTGAAGTAGAATTCCCCTGCAGGTATGACCACTGTGCAGACTGTGCTACGGCTGTGAAGCTGTGACCCGAATTTTAGACTTAGTGGTCTGTAACCCACAGAAGTCTCTAGGTTAAAATCAGTGGTGAAACAAAAATGGTGTAAGTTACTAGTCATTTGTAAGGCGATCAGGAAATAAATGTAAGTTATAAAGCAGGGCAGCTAGGACCAGGTTGTTTGCAGTGACTTTGGCAGTTGTGTGAATAAAGGCTTCAAAATGACTGCGCTTTATGTGGACATACTGTATTTCCTAAAAAACTTTGCCTCCAGTGAGGCAGTAAAATAAAGTCAGCAGTTTCCAAAGACCCCAGGTTCTGGTGTCTCTGTTGAGACTAGTATTTCTGGTTTTGGTACTGAAAGGAAAACTTGCCTTAAGGAACATGTAGGATTTTATATATATACATACATACACACTGTGTTAAAGCAGACTTACCTGGCAATAAAAGTGTCAGTCTGAGGTACATGCTTCTCTGAATAAGGATGTGTCTAAGGAAGAACATAGGCATAAGTGAGAAAGTAAAAATGCAAAGTGAATATTAGTTTAGATCTGTTATGGGAAGCGGAAGGAAAAGAAAATTATTAGGAGGGTATGTACAAGTCAGCGGTTTAATGTTATTTTCAACACCTAATTACTTTTCCTCTTACACAGCTGCTACTGCATTTCATTTTGTGTTCTGCATGGTAGCTTTGGTACAGCTTCTCTCCACGCTGCTTTACTGCTTGCCTGCAGCAGGGTGAGCTCAGTTTTCTTAATAGCCCTGTACTGGAGTTACATACCTATGTACGTGAAACTACGTTACCTGTTATGAGCCGAGTTTTTGCTTATATTACTGAGGTCGTGATCTGAGCTAATGGGAGAGAAAATACATGTTAGGGAAGAATCTGATTGGATTTTCTGAATAAATTGAGTGCTCTGGGGTGGTAAGATGAACAATGTTTCAAGTCATAAGGCAACAAGAAAACGTAAATAATTACAAGGAGTAAAAAATTTGCATTATCCTGTTCAAACTTACACTAGATTTAGACAGAATGTAATAATTAATAGAAAATAAATAAGCACTAAGATTTATTAGAAATGAGAAGCTAAGTAGCAACTCAAGCTCGAATTAGTAGAAAAAGACTATTGCTCTACTATCCATACAGAAACAAACTTGATAGGGCTTCTGGACCCTTGCCAGGAAAGTATCAACCACTGCAGTATGATGTGTTCACCAGGCCAGTAAGAAGTAAAAATATTTTTGCACGTTTGTAGCGCTTTCTCTCAGAGGACACTGCAACAATTTACTCATGTTAAGGAGTTATTGACCACCTATAATCACAGGGAATAGAGAGACACCGGGAGTTGAGGTGACTGGCCATTGTGGTCATCTCACAATTCTGTAAAGAGGGAGGCACAAGTAGACCTGATTTTGGTTATAAACCAGAGGAAGAGATATTATTACACTGGATGTTGCTGCTGCAGTGTGATGCAGATTTATTCAAGAATAACATTTGCACCCCAACCACACTTTAGAGTGCTCATGCTGTACGTGGTACTTATATTTTTCAAGCCAGTGATAAAAAGCATGCAAGATTATGGGAACCTCAAAAAGTTTTTATGTCCTGATGGGTCGTTTCAGTTCAGCTTTAGACTCATGTCTAGGCAGGTTTTGTCGGCTTTGCGTGTTTTTGACAGGAAGGCATGTGGCATTTAGTGGTTTTTAATTAAATTTTGGGTTGGGCTTTGAAATTTGTTCAAATCCTAAGGCCAAAATGTATCTCGGGCAGTAGAAAATTAGGACTCCTGAGACAGAAAATGTTTGCCTGAATCCTTATAGAATGAAAGTGCTAAATTTGATGGTGCTGTATATTCGAAAAACTAATCACTCCTAAAATCAAATGCAAAAGTTCTAGCCACCTAGGCCTTTTTTGGGCAAAGACAGTGTTGCTAGTCCTGAAGCAGTAAGAAATCATAAGTCATGAATGTTACTTTTTTGTAGACATTGAAAGAAGGGATGCATGTATAATTGCATGGTTTCCCAAGTTGAAGCTTTAAGAAAACAAAGAGTATTGCAGGAATCATAAAAAAATACTGAGAGTTGGCAAGATGGAGAAGTTTCTGGTCCTTAAATTTTGCTTTGGAAACTAAAAATTCAGATTTATCTTTAGATATATTATTGGAGTTTTATTTATGGAATTGCATGCTCTTTGAGGGCAGAAAGTTACAGTTTTAAACAAAAACACTACGTTTCCATTGGCTTTTGCCAATGAATGCTTTAGTTGATGTTCAAAATAACAGCTTTCATTTCTATCATTATATAACTTATTTGTCTGTTTAAATGACATTTGTAATCCTCGTTAAATACAGAATTTTTAAAGTGAAAATTTGGCTCTGATAGGAAATTTCCTTCAAGCTTGATAGCCTTTCTTTTTTTTCTTGCCCATCCTTGTTCCGATTCTGTTATAATTCATGTAAGGCACTATGGGTCTATGCTAATACCCCAAATCTAGTGCTTGACCGTCTGGTGATGATCACCACTACATTTAAGTGTTTTCTGCCCTGCAACTGGCATAAAGGGAATGAAACAGATAGGGAACAGAGGAGAAGACAAGAGAAGTGAAAGGAGGACGAGGCTTGGGAGCAACTGTTGATCCCCATGCATAGACTGGGGGCCGAGGTGGCTGGAAGGGTCTCCTAATGCTCCGTAGACTCTTCTCTGTACCAGGTTTTTGAGCATAATTTAATCTAATAGCAGGAAGAAGGAAATAATAGATTTTTGTGGGGATTTTATTCTATATGTCCCTGCTTAAAAGACCACAGGACTTTCTGAAACTTGCTTCCAGCAGCTCAAAACTAATTATAACACCTTTTTTCTCCTCATGATAATTTCAGTTGTAGTGCTGACTACCACAGCTCTTGTTTAGGTGATGTTACTTTGACGGTATACAAAGATTTCTTTTTCTTGCACTTCCTTCTTTGCAAAAATGAAATTTAAGCCTTGCAAAGAAAGTTAAGATATGGGGAATGATTGTAAGAAAGCAAAAATCACTCACCTAGAAATCACTAGGGCTCCCTCGGTGATAAGGTAGCCTGTCAGCTCATTTACTTTCTCAGAAAGACAAGCAGCCTGCTCTGAAGAGATCTTCATCATTTCCCTATCCTTAAGTGACCACTTTAAACACCATCAAGATGTGTGCTATAATTTCAATTGACTTTTTGTTAATTACTGTGTCTACCTGGTATTTTACAGGCAGACATGAGCTCATTTTGCCTATTCTTCAACCAGAAATTGTGTAGCTACGGTTAGTTTGGTGTGTAGCTCAAATCAGTTAGTCCTGCTGAGAGACAGGAGGTGTTAGCTGAGGTCCAGTTCTGCTCCAAAACGGGTGCACAGCTTCTCGTCGGCTTCAGAGTTCAGTTAGAGCAAATTTGTATCTTTCTGCAGAAAGTCACATAAGAGTGTACTCTTACAGAGCTACTAATTTTTAAAATTAGTACTAAATACAAATCATAATTTCAGATGACCAGCAATTAAATCTGTCTTCATGATGGATTTCAGTCAAGATATGTAATACTTCTGTTACTATAATTCTATGAGAAGTTTTATCTCTGTGTGTGTTTGACACGTTACACTTTGTTACATTTTCTAAAACTAAATTTTTCCTTGAGTTAGAAGGCTTTTTGATCATATATGCTGAAAGAGAAAGAGCACAGACTGTTCACCACTTATATAACTCTGTCTCAGGAACAGATTTTTGACCACAACCCTCCCTAAGACCCCGAGACCCTGACGGCAAAACTAAGAGGACTCACTTTTTTTCCCTCCCATTTGCATTAAAGTAATTGGTTTTTAAATTTCTACAGAATCCTCTGTCTAGAAATTTTGTAGCTTATAGTCTGTTACAAAAACTATCAATTAAGTCCACTGCAACATGGCAGTACTGGAAAATTGTGTCCACCTCATTTGGCAGATGAAGAACATGAGAAACTAACCACCATACCCATGGTTAAAGAATTTCTGTGTCAGAGCGAGAAGCAGAGCTCAGACAGTGCTGCATTTCTAAGGAGAAAGTCTTGAGAGTCAGTAAGTCTCACGGCTGTTAAATAATTCCCTGCCTTCATAAATGTTATTTAATATATATTCTCAGTTCAAGTGAAAAGATTTACTGCATTCTTTATAAGCGATGCAATAAAGAGGCAAGCTTTGGTCAGCTGAAATGATGTTTTAATTAATACCATACATCCCACATGCAAATACCATTAAGACAACCTTTGATAAATGGGCATATTTCCTAAATATGTACAAGTTAAATGAGCCTTGCAGCTAATGAAGGGATCCAAAATTAAAACAAGTGTAGGAGAGAGACTTGAATACAGAATTTTTGTTTAAACAATTAAATGATTAGTATAGACTTAGTCACCGTTAGGTTGCTCATGTTTCTAAATATTCTAATTACATTTTCCAACCCAGTCTGCCAGCTACAAACATTTTTTCACTTACGCATTTCTGCTGGCAGGACTGAGAATTTGGACTTGGGCCTCTGACAGCAAGAGAAACCCTAAGTTGTTAAAACGCTGAAAGGAGATATCAATGTGACAAATCCTCTTCTCCCCTTCCTTCTGCCCAGTCTTATGCTCTAATCCAAGGTTTCTGTAACACGAATGAAGAACAAAAAAAAAAAGCCAAAAATGAAAAGAGAGAAAGATGTGAAGCCTGTAGGCTGAAGACAGCTAAAGCATGTTCAATGTTGGCAGTGTGTTTGTTCTGCAGTATTAGGACTGAACCCTGCTAATGGTGAATTCTACAGTAATGATGGGGTTTGAACTATTGTCTTAAGTATTTTGGCAAAGAATAGACTAATCTCACATGAATGATTTTTTTTCCCAGAAGATTCCTACTGTCTTGCGCTGTGCCTGAATTTGATTAAATGCCTTTTACTGCTGGATGCCACCTGAACCTGAACCCCAAGAGGACATGGGTCAGAACCAGTGGCGTTTATGCTGAGGATGAGAGACAGGGAACAAGCCAGTGTGTGAAATCATTTTGACAGAAAACGTTTGCGAGTTGCAAGGAGTTGAAGATCAGAGGCTTGTGATGGGAGAGGGAAATTGGGCTTGGAATGGCTGAAGGATGAGATTAGGACTACAGCTGGACTGGAAACTGCTTTGTGAGAAGGAAGGGAGACAGATCTTTTTTGCCAGACCAGGGAGGATGCAGAGTAGGACCAGCTGGGGAAAGAAATGAGGACGAAGTTGGTGGGGTCACTGAAGATGATTGAGAAAGCAGAGTAGGGCAACAAGGACTGTTAACTTGCGAGAGTAAGAGAGTTGGTAATCAAACAGGGGGAGAAGGTGTAAGATGAGGCACACAGGGGAGGCCGAAGGGCAGATCTGGGACTGGCAGGATGATGAAATCAGCCCATGGCACCAAGAATGGCTGTGTAAGGAGCTAGAACTGAGGGCTGGAAAGCAGGTTTAGATAATCAAGTGTGGAGAATAAGATTGAGATGTGATACTCATGTCCAGGGACAGAGAAGAGAGAGAATGAGAAGAGGAATAGTTTGGAGAGAATAGGGCAGAGGGGAGATCAAGCTTGGGAGAAAAGAGTGGAAAAGAAGTAGGCAAAACAGTTTCCATCCATTCACTGCAGAAAGCTCAGAGGGAAGCCTACAGCTCCTGTGTAGATGATTAGTACAGGCTATTCTGCTGTAAACCAGCAGTGGTGAAACTAATCCTCTCTCGGCTCAGACATGCACAAGCTGGGACAGAAAAACAGTATATAGAATGCTAAACCTAACAAAGTTCTCACACTTTATAACTTTTGATTATCTGTGGAACTTTAATCTGTGTCTTTCATTAATTATGCTATTAATCTTCAATTATGAGACTTTCTTTTTTTTTTCCCCTGCAGGCTTTCTACGTATGATCATTTTAAATCCTTGACTTTGCAATCTCAGTAGTTTTCTTTTAATACAGTCCTCCTTCAATATGTAATCAAATTACACTTTAATAATAAAAGAAAAAAATACAGGCATCATTTTAGTTGCTTATTAATTGGTCATTTAATTAGAATGCTTACTGATTTGCAAAATGCAGGTTCTGACAATGGGTTTCATAGTCATTACTACAAATTGGTCAGGTTTTCCTGTAATTTCTTTGAGTGGACTCTCATGATTTAACTGAGAACCATGTGAAAATTCTGCCAATTAGTTGAAGTATCTACACTTAGGATGAAAGAACATGACCCGATTTTTTTCTTTTTTCTTTTTTCTTTTTTTTTTTTTTTAGCTCTGACCTCTCTGGAGGTCAGCTAGTGTGTATGACTGAATGCTGGTCTGAGCTAGGCTGTTATTTTGTTATATTCTTTCCCTTATCATTAGTTTGTGCCTGTGCAGCACTTTAAACATTTGAAGAACTCTACGAATGGTTAGCCCTGTAAAATTCCTTCTGGCAGGCATCAAAGTGAACAAACTACAGACTTCTCTGTAGTTCATTGTATAATAAATTTTCTTGTCAATAGTTTCAACAACTTTGACTGCAATGCTTTTGAGCTTCCTTGGTCACAAAGGAAACATCACAGACATACTGAGGATGGGTATGACATGAGGGGAGCTTTCCTCGGGCTCGAACATATATTTGCAAGAAAGTAGGGGCTTCCCTGAGCTGAGATTTTTGGAAATAGTTGGATGTTGTATAACACCAGTGCCGAGTACACACTGACGCTTTGGAGCTAGACAGAAAATGGGATTTTGTGCACAGGGAATTCAGATATTGAGCTTCTTCCTGCTCCCTTCCTTCTTCCCACTCTCTTCCTTCTTCAAAATTAGGATGAAAAGTTGAAATAGTGATAATTCTGGGGGGATTAATAATTTCAAACAATATTGATCTGGAAATGTGAAAAAGTGTTCCTCTATGGAAATTTTTCTTCTAGGAAATCATCTGTTAAGATAAATTTTTTTTTTTATGATGGAAAAATGTTGTATCCAAAAATGTTACCTTAGCTATACATACACCAAATACGGAATTTCTGTAAAATATACTAACTCTGGGTTTGTATATACTGCACACAGCTCACCATCAGCTATATTGAATCATTGATGCCCACCAGTGAACGCCAAAAGCAACTGATGCGCCAGTATTGCTTTGAATGTGACTGTCTTCTCTGCCAGAATGAAGAGAAGGTAAGTTGAGTGAAGAAATTCCTTGCCAATGAAACAGAATTTTCCAAGGCCTATCAGCAGATTCCCTTCCTTTACGTAATACTTATCTTTTGCTACTAATTGAATGGCCAGGATAGTGAAGAAAATGACCTCTGCCATCAGTGCTGTTTGTGTTGCTATGAAGGACAACTGTGAAGGAAAGAAAAGCAGGAAATGTTGACAACATAAGATTAATTTCTTGCTAAAACATGCATTGTTCATAAAGCTAGGAAATATTTTCAGTTCCAAGATGTGATTCAGATCATTTTGAGATTCAGGGACCTCTGGACATGAGAGTTAACATGACTTTAAGCTGAAAAGAAAGGATTTGCTAAATTTTTAATTTTTTCCTATTCAAAAGAATAATTTTGGAACTTTAACTGAAGCCACTTGTCTAATGCTATGGGAAGGTTGTGCTTATCCTCATAATAATGTTAAATTAGTTCTGACAAACATCTGCATCAATAATTTTCAAGAACTTCCAGATATATTCAGCGGTTGTTAGAGAGAGTTGTGAACCTCCTTGAATGACTGTTTGTAGTTTTTACTCTCTCTTTCAAAAGTTCTTGGATTAGCACGTCGGTAGTTGTAGTAGATAAAATTTTGTTCAGTGTGACTTTTAACTAGGATTCAGCCTAGCCTTGTTTATTGTATTCTGGGTTGCTTCATACTTATACAGCCTGACCAGAATAATTATGGCTCCAAGCCTGGTGAGAGATCAAATGGAATATGCAAAATGAGCCTGACTTCATAGCAGTTCGTGCACTTTATCTCCCTAGTTATATATATGTACACTTGTTCTTATTTTCACAAGTGCCTGTTCTGGGTGAGTTGCATTCCATAGCTAAATGTGTTCCCAGTAGATTAGAAATGATAAGAAAGGTATTGATAAAAATGTGATTCCAAGGAGCATGATATGATTCATGAAATAATTGCTGTACAGCAAAAAAAAGGAAAAAAAAAAAAAAGGCCCCACAACCAAAAACCCAAGTTTAAACTCTATGTTGGGTAGGACAGCGGTGCGCATGTGTAGTTTTGTTCAAGCCAAAGTACACCTATTGAATACATAATGTATCCTTTGATTCATCGGTAAGCAGTTCAAAAAAGAGAACACAGAAAAGTTTCAGGTTTATGACATAATGCTAAATTACTTCCCGTCCATGTGCAAAAGTTGTTGGCATTCTGTGCCTGATAAAGTAGCAGTGCTACTCGGTGAAGGGAAGACTTTTTTTTTTTTTTTTTTTTTCTTTCTTTTAAAGATGCTCACTCAAGTGCTGTGAAATCTTAGATTAGTTTTGGGGAATGGCATCCACACAGATGCAGTGATGATTAAGAAAAATAAGCAGGTTAGGAGTCTTTAAGGATCACTTAACCGTTTGTGAAAGGGTAGACAAGTGGTGTAAAGACCATTCAGCACATGGAATGTTTTAAGAAACAAGATCCACAGGCTGGAGTACACGTCACTGTAAGAGTCAACATACAACATCAAAAAATATTGTAGTGAAATTGTATGTGCCTATATTGATGAAAACAGTAGTCTCATATATAGGTTAAACTTAATTAATGATTTTTTTCTTTTTGACATTTTTAACTGTTGTTTGAGTTCATATTCTATAGATCTTTTTTACTCATTGGCAAAATTCCCTGTGGAGATAATATTGCGAAATATTTGGAAAGCTCTCTGTGACTGCATTCTGAAATTCTGTAGTTTCCTCATTGTTACCATGTAAAGAGGTGTGTGAAAGGCTAGGAACCTCATGTCAACTTTGTCTGTTGATGTCTACGAAGAAGACATCTTTGTCCTCAGCTTCAGTCTAGGATGAGTAGATATAACCCTCACCAGTCCACGTAGTACTGTGTTTCATTTCCCTGTGACAGAGATTTTATAAACACAACTGTTTACATGACTAACTTGGAAACATAAATTTATGGTGGTGTTTTTTCTCCATTGATCTCAATCACTGTTGGTAAGCTGGGAGGCATGTAACACTGCAGCTACAGTAGGAGAGAATATTTTCAGAAATTCTGGTTTTTTTAAATTACACAATGGCTGGATTTAGATGCTTAAAAGTCATCAGTCGACAAAATTATTCAATAATATCCCTGCTGAAATACCCCTGATACTGAAACAAATTTCCAAGACATATTGGAAAACTTTTAAAAGACAAAGCCTTTGTCAACAGAATAGGCAATGGCTGCAAGTTTGGGTCATCAAGGGTGGCAGATTCAACACTGTGATTCAATAAATATAATCAGCTAACAGTAAATTCCTATATTACAACATTGCTTTGTGAATACAATGGCTTGTCAACAGCAATCCATCTCATAAATCTTTGTTATAGGTAAAAATGCAAATTCCAGTTTGGCTAAGAAATGCTGTATACCTTCAAGTAAGTTCTTGGGTGTTGGGAATTTTCTCAGTTTAGTCATCTCATCAAAAAAGCTAGAATCCTTTTTCAAACAAACACTTATGGAGATCGTAGCTTCTTGTTACTCCCAAATTCCAGTCTTGCTGAGTGTGCCTGCCAGCTGCTGAGCACATACTAGGGACTAGTGAAAGCAGAGGAATGACTCCTGAGATGCACACGTCAATCTACAGTAAAATTATGAGTCATTTCCATTGCAGCTTTTATTCTACATCTTTTGTAATGTTTTAACAGCTATCCTGAGAATCCTGTGGGAAGTATGCCCTTCATAAAACTTTAATGTGTATAAACCTTATATGTGTTAGTACTTAGTTACATGTATGCTTATTATTAATATTTATGAAAGTATTTTGCAAATTTCCTATTAATGAAATTCATGTCTCCTGCTATATTTTCTAAAGGCTCGTTCATTTAGTCTTACATGCCCATGTGAAGAAGGAAGAGGGTATTGAGTTTCTGTTCTCCAGTCAGTTACTGACTTTTTAAGTGACCATGGATAATTCATTTTATTCAAAAACAACCTTTGTGTTTTCTAAGACTCTGCCCTTATTTTTCATAATTAGTGAGAAGCTATCATTTCAATTGGAGCTGAACAGCTTTTTGAGTAGAAACCAGATCAGTCTATCTAAATTGGGGATCATTTTTGTGAGTGTTCTGTGAAGCTCTCTTTTGCTCAGTTTCCCCAAATGCAGCATGAAGATTGCAATTTGTACTTCTGCTGAGTATTCTGGTGTCCAAAGGATAATAGAGAAAGATACTATATTTTCTAAAGTCTTTTAGCTTTAAGTACTGGGTTTGTTTTAATGAGAATAATTCCTTGAAGTGGAATAGTTTGAGGTTTAGTTGTGTGCTTTATGCAGTTCCCATTGCCATATGGTATCTTAGTACTGTGTTAAAAAAAAAAATTAAAAAAAAATAAATCATATTTAACCCAGAGACATCTACATGATCAAGTAGCAGATTTAGCCTACAAAATACTTCTAACTTATCCTGACTTTTAATTAAGCATCTAAGCCACTTTTTAACCTTTCTCCATACCCAAAGAAAAGACAAGCAGCTCATTCGTACTCTCTTGCAGTAGAAATCTATGAAAACTGGAGTAGATTTAAGAGGTTAAATGAATGCCTTCAAGTAAATACCCACACTTTAGACAGATAAAGTTGGGCGAGATAAATTATGCTGCCTTATGAAGTGTATATATAAACACAAAATCAAGAATCACGTTGACTACGTTTCTGTACTACCTGACATGGATAGCAGAGTGCAGTTGCAACTGTGTGGCTTTCGGCATGCTAACATCCAGATTGTTGGTAAAATTTGTTTATGCAGATCACTCCAAGCATTTGTCTCTGGCTACTGCTGTAGACAAATGTATCTTACAGCCAATGTCGCTGCTTCTTCACTGTTATTTGTGCTAAAATTGATTAAGCTCAGATAGTGGTTACGTCATACTACAGTCACTCAGTTCAGCTATGCATACAAACAAGAGCAGTGTGTCCAAGTGCTCTTTTGCCGTTCTAGGTTACATGATTCTGTGAGGGCTTTTTCTAATATTTCAGGTCTCTGATGAGCTATGATTTAAGAGGCAACTTATCTATGAAGAAATATTAATTATTTCTCATTTATTGTAATATTTCATGTCACAGCTATATAAAACAGCAAAATTCCCCCTGACACCAGCAATGACTTTAAAATTTGCAGTTGCTTGGTCTTTTTAGCTAGATGTGGCAACTTCACACAGCATAAAAATCTTCTCTAACCACTGCCTAAGTACCCACAGTCCACTTGCACAATTATCTAGATGTGAGACTGTAATACGGCAAACGCTGCCTACTGAAACAGGCTGCAGCCCAACCACAGGGACTCTGTTGAAGCTGAAGTTGCTGAAGTTGAGCATCAGCTTCAGGGAATGCACGCTGGCAGACTCAGCGTGAGCAGACACAGCCCTAGACCAAACGGAGAGGTCCATGGCTGTGCACTTGCGATTGCATTGCGTATCACAAGAGCAAACATCCCTCCCTGGTCGTTGCTGATGAAAGGACTTCAGAGTGTATCTCTGCTTGTTGTACAGCAGTAGGTTTTTGTCTGCCTCTCCAACTGTGAGCACAGCCATGGAATAATCCAGGTGCATAGCTGTCATCAAGGATGAGAAAATACGGAGGCAAACAGTGGCAACTAGCTGGACCTGTGGATCTCAAGTAATTTTTGGTGCCTGGGCCTCAATGCCAGCTGCATTTTGATTCAAAGAGGTCACACCAAAATGCTGGCCAGTCTCTTTTAGCAACTGGTCCAGCAGCCTGGCTGCTGGTTTGGCAAGGGAAGAGTAGCAAGTGCTAAGACATCAGTGTAAACAGGTTAAGATAAGATTAAGGTGAACCTTTTAGCAGTACAGTTACTGTCAAATTAAATGGCCCTAGCTACAAATCTAAACAATACTTTTAACTGATTTTGGCCCAAGTTGGAAAAAAAAATAAATCAGTAACTAAAAGAGGGAAAAAAAATGTGTCTTTCTAAAATAGAGTATTTCCTGACTGTCAGTACTTTAAGTTATTGCTG